CATAGGAGCTGTTCATGGGGCACTCACCGACAGCCATATGCACTGACATGGCATGGTGGCTCAGCGTCAGGGCCCAGAGATGCAGGTCATGGACACCCTTGACCCCATTGACCGCCAGCAGCATCTCCTTCACTGCATCAAACTCGAGGTCCCGTGGTGTCCCTGCCAACAGCACCTGGTCAGAGGGGGCAGTCCTGGCCCCCAGCCCCATGCTGGGGTAAAGGCTTGTGGTAGGAGCAGCCAGGGATGGGTTGGGGGCTCCAGCAGGCTGTGACCAGGCTGTGGATGGTGGCTCCAGGGTGAGGTAATCTCACACCATGGGCTTATTTGCCTGGTGGGGGATGTTCAGGGGTGTGAGGGAAGGATGGGAGGGTGGGCTGGGTTGTGACTGGGTGAGGGGTGAGCTCCCATGTGAGGAAGGAGCTGTGGCAGCTGCAGCCCCAATGAGCTCCTGCACCCTCCTCACCCACTGCTTACCTTCCATGAGGACTCTAAAGACATCCCTGAGGATGGTGAAGGTGGAGCCAAGGACAAAGACTGAGAAGAAGAGAGTGCTGATGGGGTCTGCAATCTTGCACTGGGGCTGCAGGGAGCAGGGTCTGGGTGAGGCTCTGGGCCAGAGCAGAGCTGGGCACCCAGGTGTGGGGCTGAGGGAGCTGTTCCCACAGTCAGTGGAGGCAAGTCCAGCCTGGGCACCTTGAAGTAGATGATGGTGGCAGCCACAAGGACGCTGATGCTCTGCAGCAGGTCACCCACCACATGAACGAAGGCTGCACGGACGCTGGTGCTTCCAGGCAGGGGGGCATGGCTGGGCAGGCAGCCCCCAGTGCTCTCCAGCTGCTCATAGCCTCCTGTGCCATGGCTGTGGCCATGGCTGACAGGAGACTGGTGCAGGATATAGGCCATGCTGGGGAGAGTAGGGTATGCTCAGTGCTGTGCTGGGCAAGATGCAGTGGCCCCGCTGGCCCTGCCTGGACCCTCACACAGACAACGGTGGCTGGGCATCGCAGGCAAAGGGGGCACAGGAAGGCACACCTGTGCCCCAGGAAGGAGGAGAGGCAGGGCTGGAGGTGCAGCAGGAACAGAGCAGTCACACCATTCAGCAAGGTGTGTGGGGCCAGGGCTCAGATTGGGCATGGGGGCAGGGATTGTGGGGCTAGAGGATGTGGGCTGGAAGCTGGGAGTGCATGGGGAACAGGGAATAGGGGGAGGCAGAGCTTGGGGACATGAGGCTGGTGCACACAGATAAAAGGTGACCTGTGGGCCAGGTCTGAGGGTCTTGAGGTACCAGGAGCAGCCATGGAGCAGGGGGGTGGGAGGGGAGGCCAGAGCCCAGGGTGGGGGTATGCAGGGGGATGATGTGGGTATGCACAGCCCCATGTGGGACATACACCAAGTTGACGCCGACGGCACTGGCAGATGTAGCCAGCATGGCTCGTGCCTCAATCTCATAGTCATTGCTGATGATGCGGGCAGCTGCCAGGTAGACAAGGGCCCCGGTCACGACCCATATGGAGAGGACAGAGGCCAGCGCACCCAGTGTCTCTGCAGGACAGGAGCTGTCAGCACCCATCCCGGCTGTGGTGCTCCTGTGGAGCTTTGTGTCCCCCCAGCTCACCAGAGCGGTGCCAGCCAAAGCTCATGGTCTTGGTGGGTGGGCGAGTAGAGACCCAGAGGGAGAAGAGGCTGACGGACATGCTGCCTATGTCTGTCAGCAGGTGGGCTGCATCCGTCATGATGGCCAGGCTGTGTGCCAGGTACCCGCCTGCAGGCACAGGGCAGCTGGCACCCGGTGCTGGGGCAGCCCCTTGTTCCCATCCCTGTCCTGCTGTTACCTATCACTTCCCCGATCATGAAGATGCAGCAGACGGTGCAGGCGACGCTCAGCTGCCGGCGGGCCTGGAGCCTGCCCCGACCCGGGCTGGGGGCACGGGGGCTGCAGCGGCAGTGGGGAGCCAGAGCTGGGGGGTCCGGCTGTGCCAGGGCTTCCTGGGAGCCTGCAAACAGACTGGGGGCAGGGGTCACTGCCGGCCACACCGGCTACCGGAAACCCTGTCCGGCACCCCCAGGAGCTGCCTGAGGCTCCCGGTGACCGAGCGCCATCGTCCCTCAAAGCCCCAGTCTGGCCCGTGCGATGCCGGCGTAACCCCGGAGTGGACCCGCTGTGTGCCCGCCCGAGACCCGCCACCGGCGTGTCCCGTTGCCGCACCGGGGTCCGCAGCCGGGGAACCGGCAGTGCACGGAAAAGCCGGGCGCCCCCATCGGGATGCGCAGCCACGGAGCTCTCGGTGGAGCCGGCGCGGTCCCCATCGCACCACCTGCACGGCGGAGCAGCGGGGAGCCCGGTCAGGCGTGGAGGGTGGCGTGGTCAGTGCGGTGTGGGAGCGGGTGCCCGCGGAGGAGGTAGCGGTGGGATCGAAGTGTTGCGTTTGGGGCCGGGCTGCTGGACGGGGCACTATCGCGGGACGTGAGGCGTAGGAAGCAGGCGGCTAAGGCGGGGGCCGGTGGGTGACGGGGCGGGCGGGGGCGCTGATGCATGGGGCAACAGCGCGGGAGGGGGGATGGACGGTACCGGTGCGGGTGGGTGACGCTTGGGCGCCAGTACTCAGACAGACGGACGCCCGAGGGGGGAGCTGGGCTGGCGCAGAGGTTCCGCTTGAACGGAGGTGCCGGTGTCGGGGATGAGGGTGCCGGTACACGGACGGTCGGGGCTGCCTTGGGGTCTGCGGAGGTGCTGATGTCCATGTAGGCTGAAGGCGCGGGGGTGGAGGGTACGGACGTGCTGGTGGGTACCGGTGCCGGGGGGTGCCGGGGACCGGGGGAGCTGGGCACTGCTGGACTTGACGGGGGCTTGCGGGTCCCGGGGGATGGGACCTGACACTTCCGGGTGGGATAGAAACAGGGGTGCGGGCATGCGGAGCTATGGGGAGTGATGAAGATGCCGGGAGTGATGAGGGAGCCAGTACGGGCTGTGCGGGTGCGTGGGATCGAGGGTTGCAGGCGCAGGGGATGATGAAGGGGGGTGGTGGTGTTGGGGTTGCTGGGGGCACTGGGAGGTGGCGCTACCAGTGCCGGGGTGATGGGGTGCCGGGGATGGCGGTGCCAAGAGGTGCCGGTGATGGAGGTGCTGAGGGTGCCGGGATGATGGGGTGCCGGTGATGGAGGTGCTGAGGGTGCCGATGGTAAATGGTGATGGAGGTGCCGGGCGATGGGGTGCTGGTGCTGGCGGTACCTCTTGAGGCGCAGGCTGCCTTCGGCGCGACCGCCCCGTGGGTTGACCAGGCGGGAGCTCTCGGTGCGGGTCGGGGGCTCCATGCTGCGGGCGAGCAGCACCGCGGGCACCCGCCGCCAGGACTGCCGCGGCCCCGCCCCCCTGCCGAAGCCCCGCCCCCCCCCCCCGTCAGGGCCCCGCCTCTCTCCCGGGGCGGGGCGGGAGGGGCCGGGTGCCCCCAGGCGCCCATCTGCCGGGGGTCCCACCGGTGGCACTCGGCGGTGGGAGGGTAGGGTTACGGTTGCGGCCCCGCTGAGCCACCGGTCAGAGGCACGGGGCTGACGCAGCACCGGAGCTGCTCGGCCCCAGGGAAGGCACCTGGTGGGGCTTAACCTGGTGCTCTGGTTAGCTTGTGCAGGCGGCTGGTAGGCTGTGGGAGGCTGCTGGGCTACGGGGGCGCCGCTGAAGCGCGGGGGGGCCGCTTTCACACCGCGGGGATGTCCTGGAGGTTGGTGGGAGAACACATTCTGGGGACCACTTCTGAGAGTGTGAGCATGGACAAGAAACCCACCGGAATCTGGAGAAGCCAGCATGGCTTCCCCAAGGGATAATCACGTCTTACAAAATGACATGGAGGACCTGGTGATGGGGAGAGTGTGTAGATATCATCTGCCTGGACCCTGGGGGGTTTGGGCATCATGTCTTCTAAGATCCTCCAGGAGAAGCTGTTGCAGTGTAAGCTGGATGAGCAGACAGGAAAATGCATTGAATACTGTCTGCATGGCCAGGTCCAGGGGGTGATCTGTGGCACAAAGTCTAGCCAGTAATGACTGGTGTACCACCAGGGTCAGTGCTGGGTCCAGTCTGATCTAACATCTTTGTGAATGATCTGGATGCTGGAGTGGGTTTGCACGTGACCCTGAGCTGGAAGGAGCAGCTGTACACAAGGGTTGTGCAGATCTGTCACCCAGACAGGTAGAGAAATGGGCTGAACCTCAGGAAGTTCAGCAAGGGGAAGTGCAAAGTCCTGCTCCTGGGTATGAACAAGCCCACCACTCCAGCACATGCTGGGGGCTGCCCAGTGGGAAAGAAGCTCAGCAAAGGCCATGGGGTCCTGGTGGACACAGAGTTGACCGTGAACCAGCCACGTGCCCTTGCTGCAACGGTGGCGAATGGTGTCCTGGGCTGCATTAGGAAAAGCACTGCCAGTTGAGGGGAGTGATGATGCTTCCCAGGACAGCACTGGTCACCCTCGCCCAGTGCTGGGCTCCAAGTGCAAGAGGGACATGGGCAGACTGGAGATCTCGAGTCTATGAGAGGCCACCACATTGCTGGATGGACTGGAGCATTTCTGCTGTGGGAGAAGACTGAGGGAGCTGGGACGGCTCAGCCTGGAGCAGGGCAAGCTCCGGGTGATGGAAGCCATGTCTGTAAACCCCTGCAGGGAGGGGATAAGGAGGAGGGAGCCAGGCTCTCCCAGCGGTGCTCAGTCCCAGGACCGGAGGCCATGGGCATACAGTGGGCACAGGGACGGGGACCCTGGACATGCTCCCCCGTGCGCGAGTGACACGTGCACGGCTGCCCACGGTGTCCGGAGGGTTCTCGGTCCCTGGAGGCTCTGGCCGTGCGGCCGGGCCAGACCCCGCCACGGCCGGTACCCGCCGTCCCGGTTCCCGCGGGTGCCCACGTGTGGCGGGGGCGTGGCGGGGCCGCGGGGGCCGCCGGGAGCCGCGTGCGGCCGCGGCCCGTCCCGGCAGCCCCCGCGGCCCATCCCGAACCCAGCGGCCCGCGGCGGCGCGCGGAGATGGCGGCGGCGGGCGCGGAGGAGCGGCGGGGAAGCGCGTGGGGCGCGGCGGGTCCCGAGCGCGGCCCGGGCCCGCTGGGCTCGCTGCTGAGCCGGCTGCCGCTGGCGCCCTCCCCGCGGCGCAGAACCGCCAGCCAGTGCCAGCCGGAGCCGCCGCTGCTGCGCACCAGCAAGCGGACCATCTACACGGCCGGGCGGCCGCCCTGGTACAGCGAGACCGGCGCGCCCGTGGACGAGGCCTTCGTCATCGGTCAGCGGCGGGATGGGGCTGGGGAAGGGATGGAGCTTGCGGCCCGGAGCCGGGCTGGGGCAGGGATGGAGCCAGGGCTGGGGAAGTGATGGAGCCAAGGATGGGGTCTGGAGCCGGTGCTGGGACGAGGTAGATGATGGAGCCAGGCCCTGAGCCACGGCTGAGGGAGTGATGGGGCCGGGCTGGAGCTGAAGCCGGGCACTGATGGAGCCGGGGCCTTCGCGGTGATCCCCTTCTCACCCCCAGGCTTGTGCGGTGGCAGTGCCTCGGGCAAGACAACAGTGGCAACACGGATCATCGAGGCGCTGGACGTGCCCTGGGTCGTGTTGCTCTCCATGGACTCCTTCTACAAGGTGAGGGCTGCCACGAGGGCAGCACAGAGCAGTGGCGGTGCTAGTGGATCCATGGGTCTGGCGTGGCAGTGATGGGGTGTGGGGGCTCTGGCATGGCACTGAGTGGTGATGGTGCCTGCAGGTGCTGGACGAGGGGCAGCAGGCTCTGGCAGCCCGCAGCGACTACAATTTTGACCACCCTGATGCCTTCGACTTTGAGCTGCTCGTCAGTGTCCTCCGCAAGCTCAAGAAGGGCAAGAGCGTGAAGGTGCCGGTGTACGACTTCACCACGCACAGCCGCCGCCGGGAGTGGGTGGGTGCCATGGGGGAGCTGGGATGGGTGCCATGGGGGAGCTGGGATGGGCGCCATGGGGGAGCTGGGATGGGCACTGGGGCGGGCAGACTGGGTGAGCACTGGGGAGCAGGGATGTCTGTCGGCAGGGGTAGGGAGTGTGGGGGCTGTGGGACCTGGGAGGGCACAGGGAGGGAGGGGCTCCAGCCATCAGGGGTGTTTCTTTTGGGGGGGGGGTTGAGGTGTGGAGGCAAGGAGGGGGCAGGGAGACATGAAGATGGAGATTGAAGTGGGGGCCAACCCAGAGTGCAGGGAGAGGCTGCAGTGGGGAGCATGGAGTGCAGAGAGGGAAGGAGCTGGGATGAAGGCAGAGGTTTGGGGCTCTGGAACAAGGCTCTTTGTCAGTGCAGGGCTGGGATATCAAGTGTAGGGATCAGAATAAGGGCCCTTAAATGTTGGATGATACAGGACAGTTATAGGGAGTGCTGCACATGGGTGGCAAGAGCCTGGGATGCGTCAGGGGCTGAGGGCTTAAAACTGACAGAGGGTAGACTTAGATGAGATATGAAGAAGAAAAGAAATTCTTCCCTCTGAGGGTGGTGAGGTATTGGTCCAGGGTGCCCAGAGAAGCTGTGGCTGCCCCATCCCTGGCAGTGTTCAAGGCCAGGCTGGACACAGGGGCTTGGAGCAAGCTGCTCTAGTGGAAGGTGTCCCTGCCCATGGTAGAGGGGTTGGAACTGGATGAGCTTCAAGGTTCCTTCACACCCAACCCATTCTGTGACTGTGCCATCTGTGCTGAGTGCTGGCCTTGCCGCAGTGGGTGTGAGGTGGGCAGGACGAGCACAGCTCTTATCTGCCCACAGAAAACAGTGTACGGGGCCAACGTCATCGTCTTTGAAGGGATTCTGGCTTTTGCGAACAAGGAGTTGCTGAAGGTATCGCTCGCTGCCTGGTGCGGCTGGTGGCCCATCTTAGTGTGTGGTGTGGCAGGGGATGTGCAGTGGTGTGCTGCAGTGGGATGGGTGCTGGCCTGGCCTGGCCCTTGATGCTGCTGGGGCAGGGTGATGGGTGGGGGCTGCCGAGGGGGAGGTCACCCTCCTGCCTGCTGGTAGAGCCCCTCCACATCTGAGGCTTCAGGAGAGGCAACGCTGGGCTCCCTCGCCGTGGGGGTCAGACCTGGCTGAGCTGTGGATGAGAGGAATGCAGCAGGTCTGGTGGGGGGATGCATAGGGGGTGCTCACTCTTCCCAGTTTTCCAGCTCCTGGACATGAAAGTGTTTGTGGACACGGATTCTGACATCCGGCTGGTGCGACGGCTGCAACGCGACATCATGGAACGTGGTCGCGATGTCGCGGGTGTCATCAAGCAATACAACAAGTTTGTGAAGCCATCCTTTGAGCAGTACATCGAGCCCACTGTGCAGGTTGCCGATATCGTGGTGCCCAGGGGTGAGACTGCTGCATTTGCCAGACCTGACCCCAGCTCTGGCAGCAGGTGTCCTAGGATGGGGTTGGGTCAGTGTGCCTCTGACTCAGCTTCTCTGCTCTGCTGTCAGGTGGGGAAAACTTTGTGGCCCTAGACCTCATTGTGCAGCATGTGCACAGCCAGCTGGAGAAGGTGAGCTCTGGGCTCTTTGATTACTGCTAGTGCAGGTGAGGAGGAGGATTCTGCACAGAGGGGAGGATGTGGGTGCTCAATAGCCCTGTGCTTCTGGAGCACGCAGAGGGTCTAGATGTCACCTCTCTACAAAAGGTCTTGGGGCAGACAGAGCTGTGACACAGGGGCTGGGGAAACTGGGACAGGTCTGGGTACAGTGACGCCTGGCACTTGCAGTCTGGCCTGGCCTTGTTCACATGCTGTCGTCCTGGAGAGCTCTTCTGATCTCGGCTCTCCCCGCTCTGCTCATCCTGGCTGTGCCACATCAGTCTGCCCTTGCCTTCCGGCTCTGGTGTTCCTTCTCTGGGTTTAACCCCAGGAGAAGCAGTGGGAGCTGGGCCAGGGCTGCTGTGGGTGATTGTGCCTGGTGCAGTGACTGTGTTTCCTTTCCTTCCGATCTTGCCACACTGGATGACTCTGCTCCACCACCCAGCGTGAGATCACTGTCAGGTACGTGGAGACCCTGCCATCCACAGAGGGGCTGGTTCTGGGCTGGGGGTGGAGGGCCACGAGCACCCTCTCTTCCCCAGGTCCTGCCTCTTGTTGTCCCTGCTGGCCAAAGCTTTGCTGAGGTGCCTGAGCATAGCTGCTCTTCCTCAGCTGCCTAGGTGGCTGCCCTGCATTCACCTTCTTGGGGGTCATCACACTGTGGCTGCAGGCTCCTGTGTGAACCATCTCACAGCAGCTATGCTTTGACTCCTGTGACCAGTGCACTGCCTTGTTTTCATCCCTTTCTGGAGCACAGCTCCTGTCCTACTTTCTGGGTTGTCCCAGGCTGCTCCCTTCTATGGGAGAAGGGCCCTGAACAGTCCTTGTTCTCTGGGACTTCACATAGCCTCAGAGGGACAGTCCTTGTCCCTAAAGGTCACTGCAGCATGGGCAGCCCAGTCCCAGGGTGCAAGGCCTTCACATGCAGAGATGCTCCTCCTGTTCCCTGGGTGCTGGTATAGAGGCTTATGTGTACAAGGGCTGCTGACAGCTGGATTTGTTGTCAGGGGAGCTTTGCCCCACTTTTATGGGTTGGTACTGCTTTGGAATCTCATACCTGGTACCAGTCTTGGGGCTTTCCTGGGGATCAAGGTGGGAAGACCAAAGCACTTTCTGATGTCCAGCCTGTGCCGTAGGTTCTCTGTGAGGAGCCTTCCTTTGGCCAGGGGCCATGTCCCACTCTGTGGTGTGTCCAGCGCAGTGGCTCTGTGTGCCTGTGCTGTGCAGCTCTGATCACTGCTGCCTTGTTTCAGGGCAGCTCTGGCCTCTGCCCACCAGGGGCAGCCCCTGCCGAAGACACTGAGCGTCCTGGAGAACACTCCCCAAGTGCGAGGCATGCACACCATCATCAGGTAGGTCCCTGCCTCCTTTGGAGTTCCCTTCCTGCAGAAGGGCTGTTCTGTAGGATCACACTACAAAACCTGGTGTCAGTTTTTCCTCATCTGCCTTAAGGGCTTCAGCCATAGGGGTTTTCTTGGATCAGGACTTAACAGAGCTGACTCCACCCTACAGACGGTTTTTTGGCAACACTCAGCCTGTCTGCTCTGGGGTGACTTTTGAGCAGCTCTTTCTTATGATGAGAGGAGACTGGTTAGCTCTTTGCTAGCTGGAGCACAGGCATAGTAGCTGGTGACATGGGGTGAGGTGCCCTCACTGCCCCTCTACTGAGGCACTTGAGTTTAGAGCCAGCTTAGAGAAGACCCAGGCTGCTGCTTCCATGACTTGATCTTTTCATTCCTCACTAATACTCCTTTTTTCTAGGTGACAGTAGCACTAGTGTAGGGTCAGGAGCTGAATCCTGTGGGGCCACTAAAGACATTCCTCATTACTGTGGTTTAGAAGCTTGCAACCCCTGTGTTTCTGTCCCTGGGCTGTAAACCAGGAAGGGGATGCTGAGCTCTGCTGTGCCTGCTCACACTGTGGCTGGTTACCAGCACCCCTTTGTTGGTTTAGAGAACTCAAACGTGACTACATGCAGGTGGTGTGCCTCCTGGTGGGAAACAAACTGTTCCTTCCCCAGGCTCCTCCTGTGACTCCTCCTTGTGGCAGCGCAGGCTCCAAGGGCCATTCACAGCAGTAAAAGCCTGGTGATGTGGCACCTTATGCTCAATGGGCAGAGACGTGTGCCAGTGTCTGAAGCCCATGTGTCTCCCCACTAGGCTGTGCGCTTCTAGTAGCTCCGAGTTCAGGTCACTAAGGGAACTTTGTAGAAGTTATGACTGTGTCCCTTCAGTGTCTCCTTGCACTGCTGTGGCATCAGCTTTCTGATGGCCTGAGATGATTTCTCTAGCTCATCCGCTGGCTGTGCTCAATGATAAATGAAGGTGGAAGGGAGATCTTGGGGAACAGCACCACCAGAGGCTAAATGTTGTTTGCTTGCAAAGGAGCACTTTTCCCTTTCCTGGGGTCATGCAGGGTGAGAAGAACCAGCCAGCCTTTGTGCAGCAGCCCACCCATCTCTAGCCTTCCTGCTCAGAGGCACTGGCAGGGACCTTTTACCTATGGCTCCTCCTGTTTCCTTGGGAGAGCTGACAGCGTGACACTGCTGTGTGCTCTCTCAGAAGAGTGTGAGCAGTGCCACAGGCCAGGTTGAACCAGTCCGTGTCTGGAAGGGACAGCACCATGGGCAGACATTGGATCCTCTTTCATCTGTAGCTGCTGTTCCCCTCTTCATCCTTGAAGTCTGTGTGCCTGTGCCTTGCTGGGAGCGGTGTGTTGTGCCTCCGCCTTTATGCCACAAGTGTCTAATAACCTTAATCTGCTTGGACTTAGGAGTTTGTTCAGCTGCCCTGGGAGGGAAGGGACCAAACCCGTCTGGACTGTGGTCAGATTCCAGCAGCGCTGCTGATCCCGAGTTACTGTACTGGAGCTGAGCTCAGGGAGCTGGCTGGTGTGCATGGCAGGGCTGTGGGGAGGCAGATTTTGCCTCTTCCAGATGGTAAATGAAAAATAACCATGCTTATGAGGGGCGTTGACTTGGCCTGTCAGCCACCCCCTCAAATCCTGCTGCAGCCCAGGAAAGCAGGGGAAGCTGAGGAAGTGCTGTTACCAAGATCTCTAAGCTGAGGAACTCACTCCTGTATTTGGTGACAGCAAGGCAGCTTGTATTCCTGGTGCTTGTAGGTGATGCTTGGCAGTGCTCACGTGTTTCTGCATGACTTCAGTGTGGTGTGGAGCTGTTAAATGATTTTCACATGTGACCCTCTGGGCTTCCCTCTGCTCCCGAGGCACTGCTTCCTGCCCTCTGAGGTTCTTCTGTGCTTGATGGAGAGGCTCAGACTGTCAGGGGATCAAATGCACACCTTTTGCCAAGCTTCCCGCACCTCTGTGTGTGAAGTTACTGTCCCTTGGCAGATCTGATCTCGTCTTCATGCTGGCTGCCACGGTGCCATCATCCCCATTCCACAGTGGGACCCCTTGTGGGGTGCTGGTGTTCCCACCAGCACTGCCTTTTGGAGTGCCTTGGCACACCCAGCTTGGCATCTGTGGATGCACCAGGGAACTGTGAACTAGGATTTCCCTCCAGCCTCCCTTCTTCCATCCTGTCTTCCCCAGTGCAGTTCCCTTGGATGCAGCCTGTTGATCTTGGCTTGCCACGCTGCTGCCAGCCAACGTGGTTTCCCTGTTGTTCAACACTGGAGGCTCTTCTGTGATTCAGCCTTCTGTCTGTGAGGGCCCTCCTGGAAAATTATGTCGTGGCAGCAGATGAGCATCTCACCGAGTATAGTCAAGGCAAATTCAGGCTTGGCATCTCAGGGAGAAGTGGTTTCCAGAGCAATTTTCTCTTATCATGGAGAGGCAGAAACCCAAACATAGTCCTGCACTAGAACAGCTGAATTATTTTATTCATTATCAGTCTAAGTATCACAAAATCACACAACAGTTTATCTGGAAGAGGTCTTAAAGCTTATCCAGTTCCAACACCCGCCATAGGTAGGGACACCTTTCACTAGACCAGATTGCACCAACATTTGAACACTGCCAGGGATGGGGGAACCTGTGCCAGGGCCTCATCACCCTCACAGGGAAGAATTTCTGCCTAAGATCTTATCTCTGTCTTCCCTCTCTCAGTTTAAAGCCATTTCCCCTTGTCCTGTCCCTATAGGCCCTTTTCAAAAGCCCCTCTCTAGATTTTTTTGTCAGCCCTTATAGGCACTGGAAGCTGCTCAAAAGTCTTGCCTGAGCCTTCTCGAGGCTGAACAAGCCCAGCTCCCTCAGCCTGTCTCCAGAACAGAGCTGCTCCAGCCCTCAGAGCCATCTCCGTGGCATCCTCTGGACTCGCTCCAGCAGCTCCATGTCCCTCTTGTGTTGTTGCCACCAGAGCTGGATGCAGGACTGCAGGGGGCTCTCACCAGAGTAGACCAGAGGGGGAGAATCCCCTCCCTAGACCTGCTGGTCATGCTGCTGGTGATGCAGCCCAGGACACGGTTGGTTTCTGGGCTCAAGCACACACTGCCAGGTCATGGTGAGCTTCTCATTGGCCAGCACCCCTAAGTCCATCTCCTCAGGGCTGCTCTCAATCCAGTATTCTCCAGCCTGTGTTTGTGCTTGAGACTGCCCTCACCCAGGTGCAGGACCTTGCATTTGGCCCTGTTGACCTTCATGAGGTTCACACTGTCTCACCTCTCCAGCCTGTCCAGGTACCTCTGTATGGCATCCCTTCACTCCAGCATGCTGACTGCACCACACAGCTTGGTGTCATCAACAAACTTGCTGAGAGCACCCTTGATCCCACTGTCCTTGTCGTTGACAAAGATACTGAACAGCACTGGTCCCATTACTGACCCTGAAGAGCACCACTCATCATTGGTCTCTACTTGAACATTGAGCTGTTGACCTCAACTCTTTGGGTGCAACCATCCAGCCAATTTCTTATCTGCCAAATGGTCCATCCATCAAATTCATGCCTCTGCAGTTCAGAGACAAGGATGTTGTGTGGGACAGTGTCAAATGTCTTGCACAATTCCAGGTAGGTGGTGAAAGCTGGTCTTCCCTTATCCACCAACACTGTAGCCCCATTGTAGAAGGCCACCATGTTCATCAGGCATGATTTGCCCTTAGTGAAGCCACATTGAGTGTCTCGCATCACCCCCTTATTGTCCATGTGCATTAGCACAGTTTCCAGGAGAATCTGCTCCATGACCTTCCCAGGCACTAAGGTGAGACTGACTGTTTTTCCTTGGGTCTTCCTTTTTTCCCTTTTTAAAAATGGGGGTTAGATTTCCCCTTTTCAGGTCAGTGGGAACTTCACTGGACTGCCACAGCTTCTCAAATATGAATAATGGCTTGGCAATTTCATCTGCCAGTTATCTCGGGACTCATGGATGCATCTCATCCAGTCCCATGGACTTGTGCTCCCTGGGTGACTTTGAACCTGATCATCTCCTACAGCAGGCAGTTCTTCATTCTCCCAGTCCCTGCCTTTGCCTTCTGTGACTTGGGTGGTGTGGCTGGAGCTCTTGCTGATGAAGACTGAGGCAAAAAAAACCTGAGTACCTCGGCCTTCTCCATGTCCTGGGTAGCCAGGTCTCCTTTCTGGAGAGGGCCCACGTTTTCCCTTGTCTTCCTTTTATCACCAATGTACCTATAGAATAGGAGAGTGTAATAATGCTGTGGGTTGTATCTTCCCACTTAACAAAATGCTTTGGTATCCAGTCCAGATCACCAGCGTCAATTGAAGCATTTTGTGCCACCCATCAGGACTCTGTTGCACCTGAACAGTCCTTTCTGCACCCAAACATCTCTCAAGCATCTTGCACTCTCTTTGCCACAGGAGAATGGCATTTCCTTTCCATCGCTTGCATCTTGGTACCCACATGTTCATGGAAAGCATGCTCAGGACATCCCCTGCAGCACAGCCTGTGGGTGGCGTGGGTCACCCACCTCTCTTAGCAAGTTTGCTCTGGCCTGAGCCTTTGGACTTTGTGCTCCACAGGACACGTTGTCCTGTGCTGGAGCTGCCCTTGAGAAATGTGATGCTGTTGGTGCTTCAGTGAGGGGCAGAGCGAGGTCCTTCATGCATGCCAGGAAGTTGCAGACACTACAGAAGTGGTTCAGATGTGAAACCTGTCTATGCTCAGGTTTCCTGGGGGCCTGAATGTTACAGCTGGCTTTCAGCTACGGACCCTCCTGTTCGTGAACTAAGCTGATATGACACTGTGTTCAGGCTCCAAGCCAGATGCTGGTCCCTGTCAGGCCACCCAATGCTTTCCTGCCATCCCCTGCAGGAAAGACTGGGATCCTAGGGAGTGGGTGGCTGCTGTGCTCAGCTGGGGATTCCCAGCTCTCTGTGTTGTGATTTGGCTGAACCTCCACTGAGGGGTTGGGCAGTGCCTGAAGCAGTGCATGCTCTTGGGCTTTGCCTGGGTGATGGCAGGAAGGTGCTGTGAGGTCATTGGGTGAGCAGGTCTGGTGTCCCTTTGGGAGCACTCTTGGCACGGAGGCACTGCTGGAGCAGTCCCGTTCTCTGACTGCTGCAGGGAGGGTCCTCCACTGCTGCCAGGGAATGTTAGGGCTGCCCTCCCTTGCAGCACCCTTTCCCCTTGCATAATCAGCAGTTGCTTGTCCCTGGTTCCAGAGAAGTCCCTTGGCTGTCTTTGCCCATGCACAAAAAGGGAGGCACGCTGAGGCCTTTGCAGCACAGGGCCAAGGCTGGTCCTCCATCCCTAATGGATACATCCTCCATTATCGCTCTCTACAACTACCTGAAAGGAGGATGGAGAGAGGAGGTGACTGGTCTCCTAAGTAACGAGTGATAGGACAGGAGGAAATGGCCTCAAGTTGCACCAGGGGATGTTTAGACTGGATATTAGGAAAAATGTCTTCACTGAAAAGATGGTCAGGCACTGGAAGAGGCTGCCCAGGGCAGTGGTAGAACCACGCTCCCTAGAAGTGTTCAAAAAGCGTGTACGTGAGACCCTTAATGACATGGTTTAGTGGTGGACTTGGCAGTCCTGGGGTAACGGTTGGACTTGATAGTAAAGAGCTTTTCCAGTCTAGTTAGTTCTATGATCCTATGGTCATCAGGATGTCTTTTGGAGGCTGCGGAGGATCCTGCCTCTGTGGGAGCACCAATGGGCCTGTCCCATGCAGGTCAGAGGCTGGTTGCAGCTTCCAGCTGGCCCTGTCCATGCAGAGCAGCCCCATGGCTGGTGTGGGGCTTGTCAGGGATGACTGCCTGGGGAAGCAGAGCTGCTGCAGGCTCTGTTCCTGGAGCTCGGTGGTGCTTCCAGAGCTGCTGTGGGTTAAGCCCATGCGTGGGGAGTGCACATGCTGACAGCCCACCCTGAGGAGCTGTAGGGCTGATACCTGTTTCTTTCAGACCAGAACTGATCTTACAACTTCTCTAGGAGCGCCTTGCTGTCCCCAGGCTTGTTGGGAATGTCCACATTAGGTTTTCTGGTCATTGCAGAGCTCTCGGGAGTGAGTTACCCAGGTAGCTGCAGAAGTATCTCCAGACAGTTGTGACTGTTTATCCTTCTGAGCACTGTTGGCTGGGGTGTCTGTCATTGTGGAGAGATGTGAGAAGTGGCAGAGATGTCTTAAAATACAGAGTAAAAATATTCAATATCCTTCTGCTGCTTCTGGACTGTTGCCAGATCCACCTCTTCCATCTGGAAACTGGCAAATGTCTGAAGGGTTCCTTTGTTCCTTACATCCTCCAGAATGTACCAGGGATACATGCAGGCTGCACTGCTTTAGGCACAGGTCACAGAAGAGAAAGCAGATTTCAGCTGTGTCTTCTTAAAGAGAGTCCTTCAGTGTCAGCCTGCCCTTGCTTGTTGTTCAGCCAGGGAGCCAGAAGCTTGTTCTCAGACTTCTCCAGTAAAATGATCCTTATGTTACAGCCTGTTACTGGCTCTTTTGCCAAAGCAGCCACAGACTGGGAGAGGTTTAGATAGATGTTGTTGGGGTCTTTATGGTCACATTTCAAATGACAAGCAGATCCCAGATTCTGCTCTTTTCCTGCTGAGTGACCTCTTGGTACTTTGCCTTCAGGCACTTGACCCTGACAGTGCTGGTGGAGGAGCTGTTCCATTCATCTGGAAATACCCCGAGTAACACAGGACAGAGACAGTCCTGCCTGTCATTAAATGGAGCTCTGTACACACTTGTGTTACTGTGCTTTGAGATCCGTGTGTTGCAGGAAATGCAAGGTTTTGTGCAGTGTTTTCTTCTATGTGGTGAACAAGTTCAGGTACAGCACATACATGTGCTGATGGTCAAAATGCTGCCCACAGGAAAAGACAGCCTCATCCCCCTCTGCCCAGCACTGGGATTATTGTGTGGGCACGTACAGTTCCTTTACTCCTCCTGAAGGAGAAGGAGAGGTTTCCTCTTAATTACAGCCTCATTGTGGTTTTACTGCTTTTTATTTATTGTATTCCTTGCTGCCCTCAGCACTTAAGGGTTGTGATGAGATAATGCCAGGTATTTCAGAATCCGCCTGGTTCCTGGCAATAGTTTATCTTGGCACAGAGATGGAGAGGAGTTGAGAACACATCAGGTGTTTTCCCATCACTGGTGTCAGCTAACCCAGCTGCTCTTGGCTGTGCTGCTTCTGTGCAGAGGTGTTCCTGGAGCTGGCTGTGCTGCTGTGCTGTGGTCTGTGCTGGAGGTGCTTTTGTCCTGCCTTTTGCTCCCCTTGCAGGACCCGTGCAAAACCCTTGCTGCTTGTTCCTGAGTCTCTGTTGCCTCAAGAACTGATGGTGCTGCCTGACATTGTGCTGCTGTCGTCTCCCCTTTTTCTCCTGGCTCTTTCCACACAGTCAGCAGTTATGTCGTAAATGTCCAGCCCTGCAAATCCTCCCAGCAGAGATTCAGCAGCAATTACAGGTCATGCTCAGAGCGAGTAATGCTGTGCCTCTCTGCTTGCCTCTCAGGCACCTGCCTCATCTCTGCTCAGGTCAAGGCGCACATCTGTACCAGGCTGCTGATGTTATGCTCACTTATCCCTCCTTTTTGCTGTTGGTTTCATTCCGTTTGCTAGTCCAGCTAGCCTGCCATGCAGAGTCAGCTGTGAACTGTCCACCATGTCCCAAAGAGCATTGAGCAGCACCGTGTGGGATCCTTTTACTTCATCCAATCTGCGTGATTACCTGCATGCTTTATATCCTCCTTCCAGGGGAACTGAACACAATTTTTGACTATATAGTCCTTTCTAGACAGCAGCACCATGGGTCTTCAGCAAGCCCAGAAACAGTGGTAATTACTGTATCTCCTTCCTGAGAGCTTCCAGGTTCCCACTGGCTGCTCTCTGTGCCGTCCTTCCTCTAGAGCCCTGTTTGCCATGTGGTGGAGCAGAGACTCTGCTCTCATCTCACGCAGGCACCTTCCTTCAACAGGAACAAGGACACAACCAGGGACGAATTCATCTTCTACTCCAAGCGCCTGATGCGGCTGTTGATTGAACATGCCCTCTCCTTCCTGCCGCTGAAGGTGAGCTCCTGGCCCACATCACCCCCTCCTGAGCCCCCGTGCCATGCAGGGTCCAGCTTTCTCTACACTCCCTTCTCCGTTTCTGTAGTCGGTCACCGTGGAGACACCTCAGGGGACCACGTATGAAGGGAAGCGGTTCCACAGACAGAGGGTGAGACACTGTCCCAGTCTCTTTCTCCCCATGAGCACATGGCTGCCCCATCTTGGGTTAGCATGGACTTGGGAAAACCTGGTGGCTCCAGGATCTGTCCCTGTGCAGATGGGCTGCTTCCCTCTTCCGCAGTGCCAAAGCCGCAGGAGCTCGCCAAAGCTGCAGGCGCTCACCAGAGCAGCTGCTTCCCCTGCACAGTGCCAGGCAAATGTGTTCTCATCCCTTCCCCAGATCACTGGTGTGTCCATCCTGCGAGCAGGGGAGACCATGGAGCAAGCCCTGACTGCTGTGTGCAAGGACATCCGCCTGGGCAAGATCCTCATTCAGACCAACCATGACACGGGAGAGCCCGAGGTGAGCAGTGCCGATGCCCCAGCACAGACCCCTCGGCACTGTGTGGTGGTTGGGTGGGTGACCACTTCTCCTTCCCTTCACAGCTCCACTACCTGCGCCTTCCCAAGGAGATCAGCGAGGACTATGTCATCCTCATGGACAGCACTGTGTCCACGGGGGCCGCGGCCATGATGGCAGTGCGTGTCCTGCTGGTGAGTGGAGAGGGCATCAGAGCATGGGGTGGGACTGACACGTTGGTTGGGTCTCACGGCTCCCGTGTGCTGCAGGATCATGATGTGCAGGAGGACAGGATCTTCCTGCTGTCACTGCTGATGGCGGAGATGGGGGTGCACTCTGTGGCCTATGCCTTTCCCCGTGTCCACATCATCACCACTGCTGTGGACAAGAGGATCAATGAAGAGTTCCACATCATCCCTGGCATCGGTGAGGACAGAAGAGGGTGGCCTGGGCTGTGGGCCTTCACCCCAGCTGCCTGGCTGGGGCTCTAAGCTGCACTGAGGGAGCCCTGGAAGGGGACTGCAATGGGACCACTGCCACTGCCTCATTCTGTCCCCTCATCCTCCAGGTAACTTTGGGGACCGATACTTTGGCACCGATGGACCCTCTGCCTGGTGTGAGAGTGACGGCATGGACTGCTGAGCTGGCTGGCCATGGGGCCACCACCCAGGCTGGCTACAGCCCCCAGGAGGGGCTCTGAGTTGCCAGCCTATGCCCCCCACCTGCAGCCCCCAGCTCTCTTGCCTGCAGGCCGAGCCCTTGCTGCCTGCCCCCCTTCCACCTGCAGGAGTAGCCCCTTGGGGGTCAGAGGCAACCCTCCAACAAGGGAGGGATGGTGTCAGGGTGTTCCTCACCTCTGGCCCCTGCCTCTGTGCCCCAGGCCGGCCATGCTGGCGGGAGGGAGGGGTGGTCTCCCTGCAGCTTGTGCCTGAGGGGCCGGTCACCCTCTTCCCTGGGCACTGGGCAAGCTCCCGTGCTGGAATCTGTATTTATTTGTATTTATTTGAGCAGCTGCCCCATCTGGTCTCCTGTGGGCAGGCCAGCTACTTGAAAAACATCAGGGATTGGGAACCAAGGAACCACCTTGTCCCCACCGCTCTGACACTCCATCCCAGGGGAGTGGGGCCATGGCTCCCCAGCCATCCCAGGCTTGGCTGTGGGGCCATGATCTCCCCAGCCCTGGCCATGGTCTCCCCAGCTGCTGCTGCCACCCTTGTTGCTCAGGTTCTTCTTCAAGATGGTGGCAGTGGCTTCCCCTTGCCCTCTGAGGCAGCGGGAAGAGAGCAGGGCCTGGGGCTGCAGGGCCTGGCCCCTGTCCCCACTCTGCTGGCTCTGCTGCACCCCACCTCTCCCCCCCGCTGCCCCGGCTGCCTTCATTTTGTACCCCAATAAAGGAGCAGCGCAACCCTGTCACCCCAGGCTGCCACCTCCTGCCTGTACTGGGGCTGGGCACATGGGGACAGGGTGGGTAGGGGTTTCTACCACGTGCGGCGTGTCACCATGAGCAGGGCTGCATGCCAAGGGTGTCACTGTGTGTAGGTGTGATGGGGGTGTTGTCTCGGGGGGGGGGGTGTATGTTGGGGGTGTTTTAGTGCAGGGGTGTGTGTGATTGGGATGTCATTGTGTAGGGCTGTGTGAGAGGGGTATCGGGGGGGGGGGTGTCACTATGTGCAGGGGGTGTGTTTGATAGAGGACTTACTGTATATGAAGGGGTGTGTGTGTGTGATGGGGGTGTCACTGTGTGGGGGCTGTAGGTTAGGGTGGGTGTGTGTGTGTGTGTGTGATGGGGGTGTCACCGTGTGGGGGCTGTAGGTTAGGGTGGTGGGGTGTGTGTGTGTGATGGGGTTGTCACCGTGTGGGGGCTGTAGGTTAGGGTGGTGGTGGGGTGTGTGTGTGTGATGGGGGTGTCACCGTGTGGGGGCTGTAGGTTAGGGTGGTGGGGTGTGTGTGTGTGATGGGGGTGTCACCGTGTGGGGGCTGTAGGTTAGGGTGGTGGTGGGTGTGTGTGGGTGGGGGTGTCACCGTGTGGGGGCTGTAGGTTGGGGTGTGTGTGTGTGTGATGGGGGTGTCACCGTGTGGGGGCTGTAGGTTAGGGTGGTGGGGGTGTGTGTGTGATGGGGGTGTCACCGTGTGGGGGCTGTAGGTTAGGGTTGGGGGGTGTGTGTGTGTGATGGGGGTGTCACCGTGTGGGGGCTGTAGGTTAGGGTGGTGGGGTGTGTGTGTGTGATGGGGGTGTCACCGTGTGGGGGCTGTAGGTTGGGGGGTGTGTGTGTGTGATGGGGGTGTCACCGTGTGGGGGCTGTAGGTTGGGGTGTGTGTGTGTGTGATGGGGGTGTCACCGTGTGGGGGCTGTAGGTTAGGGTGGTGGGGGTGTGTGTGTGATGGGGGTGTCACCGTGTGGGGGCTGTAGGTTAGGGTGTGTGTGTGGGGGTGATGGGGACTGTCAGCGTGTACAGGGGATGTGTGTGGGGGGGGTGTTACCGTGTGAGGGGGGGCTCAGTGGGGGTGTCACCGTGTCTGACGGTACGTGGGTACCAAGCGGCTGTCCCGGGTCTCCTGGGCCTGCAGAAGGGCAGCTCCCCCGAGGAGATTAAGAAGGCCTACCGGTACGGCGGGGGGAGCGGCTGGGGCCGAGCGGTGCGGGGACCCGGGCGGAGGGGGGGCCCGTCCCGGTGATGGGAGAGGGGGTGTCGGGCTCCGGGGCCCGTCCCAACCGTAACTCCCCCCCCCGGCAGGAGGCTGGCGCTCAAGTACCACCCAGACAAAAACCCCGATGACCCGGCGGCGGCCGAGCGCTTCAAGGAGATCAACAGCGCTCACGCCACGCTGAGCGACGAGGACAAGCGCCGCCTCTATGACCAGTACGGCTCCCTGGGGCTCTACGTGGCCGAGCAGTTCGGCGACGATGCTGTCAAGCACTACTTCCTCATGTCCAAGTGGTGGTTCCAGGTGAGCTGAGCCCAGCGTGTCCTGGGCTGCCCTCATGGGGCTTGGCTGCTGGTGTGGCTCTGGTGGTCTCATGGGGCTGCCATCCCTTCCTCTGCAGGCTCTGGCTCTGTGCTGCGGTGCTCTCACTTGCTGCTGCTGCTGCTGCTGCTGCTTCTTCTGCTGCGGGACGTGCAGCCCGCCGAAGGAAGATGAGTCCTACAAGTACGTCGACCCCAAGGACCTGGAGGCGCAGATGCATGCAGAGGACAGGGGTGAGTTGGGCTGTTTGTGTCTGTTGCAAGCCCCACCTGGCTTTGTCTTGTGCAGGACTCCGGGGGGAGCTCCCCCCACTTCATCTCATGTGGGGACATTGCTCTTGAGGCTCAGATGTAGCTGCAGCTCTTGTGTAACAGCCAGCCCTTGGTGTTTCTTGTCTGGATCCTGACTGGTGATGGTGATAGAGGGAACCACTGCACAGGTTATGGCGTGCCTTGTCCTCCCTCAGTTGCCCCTGGGCCAGGACCCCATTAAACCTCTGCACTGTTTGTGGCGGAGAGACAATTGGGCCTGAGGCATGGAGCGTGAGGAGCAGCCGTACTACATGCTGGTTTCCTTCCCTGGGCCCTGGCCACATTACTGTCTGCAAGGACTGCCACTGGGGGACTTATGCTGTTTTCTGTGGGGTGGGAGCACTGCCGCAGTGGGGCCGGAGGTTTGGGAGTCTTGGTCTATGGGAGCCTTCATGGGGGTGTTGGGACATCACAGATACCTGCTCAGCACCACCATGGGATGGGACTGAGTCACTGATCGGGCCACTCTTCTTTTCCAGCTTCACAGATACCTGTTGTGATGCAACCCCCACCTGCCAGCGTGGAGCCCTTGCCAGCTGTCAGCACCAGTGCCTGAGGCTGCCCTCGGTTCTGCTGGCTCCCCAGGACTCTGGGAGGAGATCCTCCTTTGGGACTGTCACTTTCCAGGACCACGGTCATGCCACCTGGCGTGGCTCTCCAGCCTTAGGGTGGTTAGAATCTCAGGTTAATTTGGCCAGCATCAATGCAGAGGCTCTTCTGCCCCTGCTCAAGCTCCAGGGTGATGCCCCTGTCTCCCAGCACTGGTGGTGGAGGTGGCCTGGAGCCCACTCTGCTGCACTCGATCCCCAGTGCCTCACCTGCTGGTGGCCCAAGCAGCTGTGAGTGGAGACTTCTCCAGGTCAGGCTCCATAGCCGGGCACGTCTGAGACCGTTAGCACTGTAACTTCTGGGGCTGGGCTGAGCCCCCCACCTGCCCTCACAGGGACCCTCCTGATGGGTGCTGGGTGCCAAACGCTGCTCATGGGGTTAGGGTGCTGCCTTCTGTGCCCCCTTCCTCTGCCCTGCCACAGCCCCGGGGCACTGGCTGCACCCCATGCTCACTGCTGCTGGCAGGCTCCCTGCAGGGCTGGGCCCCGTTCAGGCACTTTCCTTGAGTTTGTATAGGTTTTATGCACCATTAAAGGATGACAGGAGGGGAGTGTGTTTCTGGGTAGTCTGTTTCATCGGGCTGCCTGAATGCTCTGCAGCAGAATGTGCCTCTGCCTGGCCCTGTATTGATAGGGAGGGGGTTATGGCTGTGGGTCCCACAGGAGTGAGGGGCTGAGCAGCGGGGGGAGTGGGCAGGTCATGTCCCAAGAGCAGCTTGAGGGGGTGCTTTCTCACAGGGGTGGACATCATTCTCTTTTCTGTCACCTTTCTGGGACAGCTGTGTCCCCCAGCAAGTGCTGGCCCTGTGGGGGCTGTGCTTCCCCCCTTCTCACTGCTGTGGGGCATGGGGTGGCAGGAGCCTGGCTGGTCACCCTTGTCCCACACTGGGGCATGTGTGCGGACTGTCCCTGCTCATGCAGTCCCTGGCTGCCTGCGTCCTAGTGGGAGATAGCTGCTCCGAGCAGGACTGCTTGGTTCCTGCCCTGCTTTCTTGAGAGCTGTGTCTGTGGGCCAGGGATGGACTGTCCCATCCCAGGGGGAGAGGGGCAAGGGGACACAGCCTCTGCCCGCAACTGCATGGGCTCTGTCTCACCCCCTAAATATAGCTGGAGTGTCAGGGCGAGTGCCGGGACCGGGCTGTTCCTGGCACCAGCTCTTCCAGGCGCCCAGCCATGCTGCTGCTGGTGGCGCTGGCACTGGATGGAGCCGTGGGGTTTTGGGGACCGGAACCCCAGCCTCCTCCTAGCCCCGCCTGAGCTGCCAGTCCGCAGAGCCAGCTGGTCCCGGTGGGATCAGCCAGTACCCGGGATCAGCCGTTGACCGCTGTAAGCCGGTCCCGGTGGCGGGGTCAGCTGGTGCCCGGGGTGAGCCGGGCCGGGGGCGCCGGTGGGGGCCTGCCGCGGCGCCGTGACTCAGTGTCACCCGACGCCGCCGACAGCTGCCGCGGCCCCGGCGGGGCTGGGAGGCTAAAATTAGCACTGGGCTTAGCGGGGCCGGGGCTGGGGCTGAGGTTGGGGCAGAGGCAGAGCAGACAGCGGGCGGACGAGGCCGGAGCCGGAGCCGGAGCGGGACAGTGGTCGGCAGAACAGGATCGGGCCGGGCCGGGACCGCGGCGATGAACTTCGCGGTGGGGCTGAAGCCGCTGCTGGCGGAGGCGCGGAACATGGAGAGCCTGGAGAAGCAGCTTATCTGTCCCATCTGCCTGGAGATGTTCACCAAGCCCGTGGTGATCCTGCCCTGCCAGCACAACCTCTGCCGCAAGTGCGCCAACGACGTCTTCCAGGTGCGGTGGGGCCGGGGGGAGAAGGGGATGATCGATCCGACCCCGGTCCCGGGACGAGCCCCCGGGAGAACTGGTGGGGGGCGGCCAGATAGCGTCGGTACGCGGGGGCCGTGTCTGTGCCCGTGCCCGTGTCCTTGCTCGTGCCCATGTCCTTGTTCGTGTTTGTGTCCGTGCCCGCGGGGATGCGGCACCCACTGCCAGGGGGTAGGGGGCAATCCTGCTGGCTCCCACAACCAGCGGCAAAGCGTGGGGGGCTATTGGCAGCCGGGGGCTACGGGAGGTTCGTGGCCAACCCCTGCTATGCCCTCCCCAGGCCTCTAACCCACTGTGGCAGTCGCGGGGCTCCAGCGCGGTGCCGTCGGGCGGCCGGTTCCGATGCCCGTCGTGCCGCCACGAGGTGGTGCTGGACCGGCACGGGGTGTACGGGCTGCAGCGGAACCTGCTGGTGGAGAACATCATCGACATCTACAAGCAGGAGTCGGCCAGGTGCGAGGAGCCCGCGGGGCACCCCACAGGGGAGAGAGTCCCGTGCGTGAAGGGGAGCCCAGGGGGGCTGCGGGCAAAAGGCTGGGGGTGGGAGTACGTCTGGAGTGTGGGAGTGACAGGGCCCACGGTTGTCTGGGGTGTCTCTGGGGCCGGGGTGTCCCCAGGGGCTGGAGGTGTCCCCGGAGCTAAGGTGTCCTACGGCTGGGAGTGCCTCGAGGGCCAGGGGTGTCTTGGTACTGGAGGTGTCCCTGAGGCTGAAGGTGTCTCTGGATATGGAAATGTCCCTGGAGTTGGGGTGTCCCCAAGGGCTGTGATGTTCCTGGGGATGGAGGTGTCCCTGGGGCTGGGGCTTACCATGGGCACTGGTGCCTGTTCCCCACCACAGGCCCCTCCATGCCAAGGCCGAGCAGCACCTCATGTGTGAGGAGCATGAGGACGAGCGGATCAACGTCTACTGCCTGCGCTGTGAGGCGCCGACCTGCTCCCTCTGCAAGGTTTTCGGGGCACACAAGGACTGTGAGGTCGCACCGCTGCCTGCTGTCTACCAGCGCCAGAAGGTGAGTGGCCCTGGTGGCCCACAGGGGACTGGGGGACCCTAACCCAGTCAGCTGGTCCTCATACCCATCCCATACCTTCCCAGAGCGAGCTCAGCGATGGCATTGCCATGCTAGTGGCGGGGAATGACCGCATTCAGGCCATCATCACACAGATGGAGGAGATCTGCCACACCATTGAGGTGAGACAGGACAGGGGGTGTCCCTGGGTGCCACGTTGCTGGTGGGGACATGGCAGGGCCAGGGCAGGCCCTAAGCAATACGGTCCTGCAGGAGAATGGCCGGCGGCAGAAGCAGCACCTGGGGCTGCGCTTTGACTCACTGTACAGCATCCTGGAGGAGCGGAAGAAGGAGCTGCTGCAGAGCATTGCGCGGGAGCAGGAGACGAAGGTGCAGCTTGTGCGGGGCCTCATCCGCCAGTATGGCGACCACCTGGAGGCCTCCTCCAAGCTGGTGGAGTCAGCCATCCAGGCCATGGAGGAGCCCCAGATGGCTGTGTACCTGCAGGTCTGTGTGGATATGGTCTGTGGAGTGCAGGGGTCAGGAACCTCCGAGGGGGCTAAAGCTGCTCCCAGGCTGTGCTGGGGAACTGGGCAGGGGCAGGTCCCTCCCGGGGGTCTGGGACTGCCCCACGGCTAGGGGGAACTTGGGTCAATCTGAAGGATTGCGGGCTACCCCTGGGATGTGTTGGGGGGGGGGGGGCTGTGGCATCTGGCTCCTGGAGTCCCCAGTCCCATTCTTTCAGGGAGACACTGACCACTTCCCCCCCTTTTCCTCCACAGCACTCCAAGGAGCTCCTGAAAAAGTGAGTAGGGCCAGGAGGCATGGGGTTGGGGCAGTGGCAAGGTGGGGGGCACAGAGCTGGGGGCACAGGGGGCAGCATGGGGGCTTGGCTATGGCTGGCCCTGCTGGGCCATGGTTGGGGGCACAGCACCCCTTGTGTCTTGGACCCCGGCAGCTTCCGGGGATCTTCCTGCCCTGCAGGATCACAGACATGTCCAAGGTGTCGATGAGCAGCCGCCCAGAGCCCGGCTATGAGAACATGGATCACTTCTCCATCAATGTGGACTATGTGGCGGAGATGCTGAGGACCATCGAGTTCCAGACAGGTGCTGGTGCTTGGACAAGCACTGCCATGTTGGGGGGGACATGGGACTGCCCAGGGCAAGCAGTGCTCAGATGGGCAGAACCCTCCACTGCCTCATGTTCTATGTGGGGCTGCATCCCCTCTTGCACAGGAATGGGGCATGGGGCCCCTCTGCATTGCCAAGGGACCCTTCCTGGCTCATGGGCTGCTGTGTCCCACACCAGGGCAAGGCTCCTGGGCTGGTCACATCCCTCTTGGAGTGTCTCCAGGCTGCCCACACCATAGGGAGGGGGGGACCCGGCTGACCTGTCCCCTTGTGCTGCAGAGCCGCTGGGCGAGGATGAGGTGGATGCACTTGGAGATGGCAGTGAGGCTGCGGCAGATGAGGACCGGCTGGAGAGCCTGGAGGCACCTGATGCTGCAGAAGGTGAGTCCCTGCTATGCTGTGCCATGCTGTGCTGTGCCATCCTGTGCCTGGCTGCTGTGCTTGGTCCCAGGGCTGCAGGGGCAGTCGGGGCAGCAAGGCCCAGGGGCTGGGACTGCCATGCCCATGGAGGGAGGGACGGACATACCCAGTGTCCTGCCCAGTGCTGTGTCTGTGCCATGGCCTGTGTGCAGCTGTGCAGGTCCTTCAGTGTGACAGGGCCCCTGTTTCCAGTCTTGTCACCTACTTTCCTTCTGCAGATGTGGCGCCGAGGCAGAAGCCGGTGAGCTCCCCCCATGGTGAGACCCTCACTGGGACTGAGGTGGGGGGGACACACGGGGCCAGGTCATGGGGTGCCTTGGGGCAGAGGAGGCACCTCAGGGGGGACAGAAGAGGATGGGTATGCAGATGGAGGAATTCATACCTCAGGGCTTCCCAGGGTGCCTATCTCCTTGCCTGTAGGGGCTAGAATGGGCATCCCTGGGTCCCCACCATGTGGGTCTGAGGCTGGTTTCCTGCACAGGTCAGCACTGAACAGGTACCATGGAGCAGCATTGGCATCACCAGCTCACTCCTGCCCCTCCAGCTTTGCTGCTGCAATTCCCAAACACCGGAGCTGCCTCTCTACAACATTAAACGCGTGAGGACTTCATCTACGGTGTTGTGTGTGGCCAGGGTGGGCACCAGGGCTGCCCCCAGTGTGGTTCCACACCAGCTCCATGGGCTCCAGCCTGGACGCAGCCCCTGCCCCACTGAGTTGTGCCCCAGCTCCACCACCCAGCACTGTCCTAGGACCACACAAGAGGGTCTGTGTCCCCAGGGAGCCCCAGCACGGCTCAGCTCCAGCATCCCAGGAGTGGATTGCAGCCAGGAGCTTCTCATCTCCAACCTTGTGCATGGGGCTCTGCCGCCCTGCCTGCAGCCCCTGCCTGGGGGTGAGAAACTGCATCACCCTTGAGCTCTGCAGCCCCCCCACTGGACACCATCTGGGCAGCACTGTCCCCTGGGTGCACCAAGCAAACAGCGCTGGGATGAGCTGGCTGAGTACACAGCCGGGAGCACCATGATCAGTGCCGGGGCCTGTGCCCCCAGCTCCGCCGGCTGGGCACCCAGGGAGGGCCATGGTAGCGCTGGCTGCGTCACCCGCCTTGTCCTGCACAGCCATAGCGTCACAGCTGATGCACCTGATGATGCATATGGTGAGGGGCTCCTCGAGGGGCTGACGATGGGGCTGGGCAGGTCCTCCGAAACCGGGCCACCATGGAAGTGTGCCCTGCTGCCACCCCCCTGCCCCTGCCACGGGGCTCCAAGGACTGGCAGCTGAGACCCCAGTACCCAGCAAGCACAGGGGCCACCAAGCTGGCCAGCAACTGGGGCACAGGACACTGCAGGATGGGCCCATGGAAGCAGAAGTGAAATGTTGGCACGTGGCAGGTCCCAGTGACCTCGGGGCTGGGAGCCCAGGGTTGTCCTGGCAGCAGAGGAGGTCCTAATGTCTGGAACCCTGTTGCCAGCAGGTTCCTGTCCTAGTCTGGATCCACGGGAGCAAATAGGGAGAGACATTCAGCTGGGCCGGGGATACAGCATGGCAGGAGCTGGTTGTGCAGCCGTAGGAGAGGAAACCCCTGAGCTGCCTCCTGGGTGTGGGGAGCTGGAGCCATACCCCCATCAGGCACAGGGACAGCATAGGAGATGGTGACACAAGCTGGGATAGAAGAAATTCCCATTGGATACCAGGAAAAACTCCTCTCAAGAGCAGAGCAATCCTTAGAAACGGTCTGGGGCATCCAGAGCAGCTTCAGCCACCCCCAGTGTGAACCCTGCTTGGGGAGGGAGGTGGGCAAGAGGGAGCAGTGCTGGAGCTGAGCCCACCACGGGCCAAGGCACCACATGTCCCCACAGACCATGTCCCAGCACAGCTCCCTCCTCACGGTCCATGATGAATTTGCTTCCACTGTGGATTCCAGCTGCAGGGCTGCTCGAGGCTCTGCCTGCCCAGGGCAGGACTTTGCACTTACTTGGTCCCTGATGGCCCTTTCCTTGAGCCCAGCTTGGTCCCAGCTCTACCCTCAGGTACTGTTACCTGCAAACCTGAGCAAGGGAACCCGGCGTGGTGCCCTGTGGCACTCAATGGCCCTGAGCAAGCAGCTCTGAGCTGCTTGCCCACCCACCAGCCCCGTGTCCCAGGGCAGGCACACAGGCTCAGCCCTGGGCTATGGGATGTCTCCATTCTCCTGCATCCCCAGGCATGTAGCTTGTGGCTGGGTGGTCAAACCTGTGGACCAGTGTGGCTGCTCCTGGACACTGCCTGCTCCTGCGCACTATAGATATGTGCCCCAGGTGGGCTCACATGGTCCCTGGGGACTGAGGTGAGGCTGGCTGGCTTCTCCATCACTGGGACCCTTTGGGGATGTGATATTTTCCTTTCTCCACCTCAGGAATGTCCCCGGCACCTTCCAGAGATGGCCAAGAGGGGCTCACAAGGACCTTGGCAGATCCTGGGCAGCCCTGGGTGCCACTGCTGGGGTTTGGGGTATCTCAGGAGAGCCCCAGCCTGGTTCTCCTCTATTCTGGGCAGTTTTCTTCCTTAAGCCCTGTCTCCAGCTGTCACCTGCTTTTGCCAGCCCCAGCCCCAGCCTGGCTCTTGGGCAGTCCTTCACTGCCCCGGGATAGTGGAGGTGGTGGATGCTCTCCTTGACCTTGCACCCCTCTGACTCAGAAGATGTGCCCTCTGGAATCCAGGGAAGGGGCACAGCAACGCTGAAGGGACTCGGGCAGCTGTTGCATGGGGAGGAACTGGGACCCCTCCATCTGCAGCAGCGAAGGCTCAGGGGGCATGGAATCCATGTGTATAGTGATGGGAGGCAGGGAAGATGGAGTCAGACTGCTGCCCAGTGACAGAAACATGGACAGGGAACACAAACTGGACCACAGGAGATTCTACCAAAAGTTTTGTCCAAAGTTTTTGGTTTTGTTGTTTCTCTCTCAAAAAAACCTTTTTTTTCCTTTTTTTTTTTGCCATGAGGCTGATCAAACAGGTTGCCTGGCACAAGCTGCTCAGAGAAGCTGTGAAGCCTCACTGGGGGGCAAAGGGCCTCTGGAGCTGCTTCAGCCCCACCCTGTGCTCGGGCTGGGTCAGCTGGAGTGTGTTGTCCAGGTCCATGTCCAGGCCAGTACTGAGTATCTTCAAGGAAGGAGATGCTCTGAGGAACCTGCTCCAGGACAGTCTTTCTTGCCAGTACCCCCTTCCAGTTCCGCATTCCTCACATCCAGATGGAATTTCCTCTTTCAAAGCCCGAATGGACATGACATTGAGCAACTGGATTTGGCTGCCCCTGCCCTTGGTGGGCGGTTGGAGTGGGAGATTCCCTAGGCCCCTTCCAGCCTCAGCCACGCTCGCACCCCATGACCACTCTTTAGCTTGTTCTCAATGGATTTCCTTAGCTCCTTCATCCTTCAGAGCTACCTCTGTCCAGACCCCACCACTCAGGTCACATAAATAGTCTTGCTTAAAGTCCAAGGCTGCATGCTGCTGCCTGTGTTCCTGCCTGCCCTGGTGCCCTGGGTGCTGATCTCCACTGCTTTATGGCTGCCACCATCACATCCACAAGCAGGTCTTCCTATGCATCCTCCTGAAACCTCCTTTACTGCTCCAGTCCTGCTGTGCTGCCCTTCCTGCAGGTAGCAGGGAGCTTATCACAGAATCATCAAATCAGAGAATGGTTTGGGTTGAAGGAACCTCTAAATATGATCTAGTCCAACCTCCCCCCATCATGAGCAGGGACATCTTCAATGAGAGCAGGTTGCCCCTGTGAGGAGCAAGGCCGCCCATGAGGTGGCCAAACCTCTCCAACTGTGTCAAGAAAGCTTCATCCGTGTCCTCCTCTTGCTCAGGGGTCTGAAACATGCCCTGTCCACAGTGTCCTTCCACCCCATCCTCACCCCCCAAGAGCCTTTGTGGGTCTCCCCAGCTCCATGAGCCATCCCACACTGTGGCAGCGCTCTGGCAGTGGCTGCAGGGGGTTGCCACACACAGAGCTCTGGTTGCCCCAACTTGCACCCCCAGGTGCCTTGCCTCCATGTGAGGAGTGCAGCACCCCTTTGCTCTGCTCACTGATGGTGAGGCACCCACTGCGCCCACCTCTCTGTGTCCTTCCCACTGCACCCACAGCTCCTTGCCTCAACGACTGGGGGTTCCTTCCCCCAAGGGGATGTCCCCGTGGCCCAGGGACATGCCGTGTTCCCAGCGCTCTGTGCAGCCCACCCAGCTCTGCTCAACCTAACTTTCAGCCCCTCTGAGCCCGGCCCCCGTTCCCGACGAGTTCACCGCACATTTCCAGTAAGCCCCTATCCCCGCCCCGCACTCACTCACGCCTCGTGTTTCCACCACGTTTTATTACAAAATCGGTGCGGGCCGTCCCGGGGCCGGTACCGCGGCCACTTGCCCCGGTGCCGAGGACGAGGCTGGTGCCGCAGGCGCAGCCTGGTGCCGGTCCCGGTGCCAGTGCTGGTGCCGGTCCCAGTCCCAGTGAGTTTTCCCGTGAGGCGCTGAGTGGCCCATGGCGGGGAGGCTGAGGCGGTGGCCGGAAACCGGAGCAGCTCCGGTGGGATCCCGGGGGGTCCCGGTACGTGGTCAGCGCCCCACGGCTTCGAGGATGAGGCGGTTGCTGTCGGCTTGGGCGCGCTGGCTCTGGGCGCGGGCGAGCAGCAGGAGATGCCGCAGGAGGTGGAAGGTGAGGTCGATGGAGAGCGGCGGCTCGTCCCGCCTCGCCCTCCACGGCTCCGGGGCTGGCGGCACCAAGGGCGGCCAGAGTGGGCGGCCCCGAGCCTCGAACGCGGCCGCCGGGACGGAGCCGTCGGGGCGGGCTGCGGCGGGTGGCGGGCGGACGAGCAACAGCAGGAGAGTGAGCAGCGCCCGCCGCATCTTCGGCTCCGTCCACACCTGCGGGACCGGAGTCTCAGTGTAACTGGGAGCGACCGGGGGCACCGGGGCGGCTCCAGGGACCCGGGGATCCGAGGGGAGTAATGTACCCGGCTGCGAGAGGGCACCGGTCCCACCGTGGAGCCGCCCCGAAGGCGGTGCCCCCTTCCCCTGCCTCCCGCACCATCCCATACGCGTTGTGCCCTCCCCGGTCCTCTGCACCGGCGCTGCCCTCGTCCAGCGCGCCGACCCGTACCCGTCACGGGCCCGTACCCGGTGCGCGGTCCCTGTGCCCTGCCGGTGCGGTGCCGGTGGAGTGGAGCGCGATCCGTCCCGTGGGAGATGAGCCGGCGGCGCGGCCGGGGCTTATATAGGACCGGGAGCTCTGGCTGACGTCATCGCCGGGCACGCATTGACCGGCGGGGGGCGGGGGGGTGAGGGGCACCGGGGCGGCGGCGGGGAGCGGGGTGCCCGACAGCGGCAGCGAGCGCCGGGGAGGAGGGACAGGGGCTGCGGGACGGGGAGGAGGTGGAGGGGTGGGGCCGGGCGGCCTAGTCCCGTTCTGGAGCCCACCCAGAGGGGCGCAGAGGAGCCGGTGCTGGTGCCGCAGGTGCCCTGGGCCGGGAGCCGCAGAGAGTGTTGGTTCTCGGTCC